CAGAAATGTTCCAGCACCCAGTGAGTGTTTTTTTCAAGAGCAAATTTAAAAACTTGTACTGTATCACCCACTGATTATAAAGTTACTATAGCTGACCATGAACGATAGTAGCACAATAATAATGCTAAGGATACGAAAGCACCAGGGTCATTGGAGTGGGGGGGCTGGAACCAATCCCAGCTGACACTGGCTGAGAGGAGGGGTCCACCCTAGACAGGTCACCAGTTTATCACAGGACTGACACTTAGACACTATAGGGATATAGGGATGTAGCAATTCTGTAAGATAAAGGGGGGCCAAACCATTGAAAGATTTAAAAACAAATAAAAGAATCTTAACATGGATTCTAAAACACACCGGCAGCCAATGCAGGGAAGCCAAAATGGGTGTGATATGGTCACTTTTACGCCCTCCAACCAATAGACGAGCAGCAGCATTTTGGATATGTGATATACATATTAAATTTCCTTGCATTCTTCTAAAGATTACTGTTACTGTTGCTTTTAATTTATAGAGAATCAGCATTTCTTCTGTGCTCACAATGCATTTGTGTGTATGTGTTCCATTGTTCACATGCATGCGTGTTTGTTGGTAGAACATTGCACTAATGTGATATTTTAAATATTTGAACATAAATTTTTAATGTAATTTTAACAGTAAGTCATTGTATTAAGTCAGAAACAAGTATTTTTTTGCTAGTTCTCATGTAATGTGTTGACCTCATACACTATTTTTTTTTCTATCTTAAAGTGATGATGAGCTGTAGCATGCCCTGTAGCATGCCGATGCCCATCTCATGTAAGTAGTGTGAATGAGATTTAAACACATTTATGCATTTTTAGAAATGCAGTGTATAGATGGTGCCTTTTGTACCTTAGTTTCTTTTATTACCTAGTGTGTTCTTTTCCCTGTCTCTGCTTTCCTACACTGCCTTCATTGCTGTCAATAAAGATGATGCACCGATGATCCAAGGACCCCTAGTGCACAGAAATGTTCCAGCACCCAGTGAGTGTTTTTTTCAAGAGCAAATTTAAAAACTTGTACTGTATCACCCACTGATTATAAAGTTACTATAGCTGACCATGAACGATAGTAGCACAATAATAATCCTAAGGATATGAAAGCACCAGGGTCACTGGGGTGGGGGAGCTGGAACCAATCCCAGCTGACACTGGCTGAGAGGAGGGGTCCACCCTAGACAGGTCACCAGTTTATCACAGGACTGACACTTAGACACAGCTTTTAGCATTATGAGAGTCATTAATGAATACGTTAACACGTCTACAGTTCTACATTCTGGATTTCTGCAGTCGACTGTTTACAGGTTTGTCCAAGGCAATGAATAAACAGCTTCATCTTATCCAGAATGCAGCTGCCAGGGTTATAGCTTGGACCAAAAAAGGCATATAATTCCAGTTCTTAGATCACGACACTGGTTACCAGTTTCCAAGGGAATTAGTTTTAAAATCCTTTTGCTTGTCTGTAAACCATTAAATGATTTGGGTCCTGGATGCCTGTCATAAGTAGGTATGAGACCTGCAGACCTCTTAGGTCGGCTCGTTCAGGGTTACGGGTTGTTTGAAGAGTTGTCTTTAGCTTTGATGCTGCTCACATATGGAATAAATTGCCAGAAGAGCTTAGACTTGGATGGTGCCTTCGTACCTTAGTTTCTTAGGTTGCCTTTTGGTACAAAATGTGCTTTTACAAATAAAACTGCTTTGATTTCTTCTAAAAATTACTGTTACTGTTACTGTATTAAGTCAGAAACTTTTTTTTTTTTTTGCTAGTTCTCATGTAATGTGTTGACCTCATACTCAGTTTTATTTCTATCTTAAAGTATTGTTGGAGTATTTCCTCGATGCACGTAAGTAGTGTGAATGAGATTTAAACACATTTGTGTATTCTTATAAATATAGTGTATGGATATACAGTAAACACTGATACAAACCATTTGAAACACTTAAGTGACATTGTCTCCACAAAAAGTTGTAATATTTGTTTTGACTAAATATGACATCTTTTGGAAAGACCAAGGGTTTGAGGGTAGCATCAGCCCCAGTAACCAGGCTGTGGCCACTTACATTGTGCTGAGGTGAATGATAGTGTGCTGAAGCACAGTGAGCCGTAACTGAAGTCCAGCTTCAACTTTATGCTTTGTCTGTTTCCTCTGTAATAATTCTGTTAACTGCAACTTGATTTGAAAACTACACGTTCAAGTGCCCTTGAGAAGCTGCATCCAATGTGAGTAGCATGTTAAAGCCACTTTTCAACATAAATATTTATACTGTATTTCTGTACATTTATCACAGTATCAAAATGTTTTTAAAATGTTTACAAAAAGCTGCAATATTTGTTTTGAGTAATTATGATATCTTTTGGAAAGACCAAGGGTTTGTACTTCTGTAAATGTTATGTAATCATTTGGTGATTTGAATGACATTTGCACGACATGAGGTTTTTTTTGTCAGTTCCGGCATCAAGCGAGACCTTTGTGGTTGAAGGTGAGTAGCATGTTAAAGCCACTCAACATAAATATTTATACTGTATTTCTGTACATTTATCACAGTATCAAAATGTTTGTTTGAAGGACTGTTTTAAAAACTTTACTAGCTTTGTGTCGACCGTTCCAGGTCTGTTTGCCTCCATGACATTTAATTTGACATGAGAAAGATATCCATTGTAGTTGCTCTCTACAAGTTACTGACTTACTGTCTACTAGCATTCTTAAGATATTTGGTTCTTGTTTATTATCAACTGTCCAGGTGCTGCCGCATGTTCAGAAATGCAATTCGCCCGTAAGTAAAGGCATTGTTAAACATACTAACAGTGCGTTCCTGAGTTTAAATTTTTTTTTTTATGTGTATTTAAACTGTGTAAAGGAACATTTAGATGTTATATAAAGAGACATTTAGAGGCTACAACCACTCTTGGCCATACTGTTTGTCTTTATGTCATTTTATTGCATTGCTGAGTCTGTTATGGCATTTAAAAAAAAAAAAAAAAAAAAAAAACACAGTAGAAAAGATTAATCTTAGGCTGAAGAGTAAAATAAACAATTATTTTTAGTCCAACTCATTAATGTACAGAGACGACAGGAACAACACAGGACTTGGTGGCAAAATTTCTAATTAAAGGAGTTCTCTGTTAGAGACCCAACTAAAAGGCTAAAGACTGAAAACTAACATTTTGCAGCATTTGAATCTTCACATAGAGGTCAGATGGGTTTTTTTTTTTGCTTGGTGTCATATGGCCACAGACTTTAATTAATGTAGCATAAATATTCATTCATTCATTCATTCATTTTCTACCACTTAGTCCCT